AAGAGACAGATGTGGAGAAAAAGGAGGAATTATATCTCGGAAACATCAGGGGAAATAGAAGGGGAAGTTATGGAGCTGAGTAGCTAATGAACATGAGAGTATTGGAAGCAGAAATAAGAGCGGTGTGCAGACCATTAAAGCCAGTCAACCTTTAGTAAAATGCCATTCAATTGGTGTTTTGTGAAATGTGCAGTTGGTGCTTAATTAAAAAAAAAAGTTAATTAATCCTTAATCATTAATGAATCCTCACCTCAAAACTATAATAACCTGAATATTTTTCTATTTTGCTGATCAAGAAACATTTCTTAATATTATCATTGTTGAAAATGGTTGTGTTGTTTAATATTTTGTGGAAACGTGATACATTGTTTTTCAGGATTCTTTGATTATTATAAAGTTTAGAACATCATTTCAAAAACTAGAAATCTTTTGTAACATTACAAGTCTCTTTAATGTCACTTTTGATCAATTTAAAGCATCCGGTAACACAATTCTCACTATTAACTAGTTGCTTATTAGCATGCTTATTATTAACATATTGGCTATTTATTAGTACTTATAAAGCACATATTCTGCATGGCCATATTCTACATCCCTAATCCTACCCGATACCTAAACTTAACAACTGACTTACTAACTATTAATAAGCAGCAAATTAAGAGTTTATTGAGGGAAAAGTCATAGTTAATGGTTTGTTAATAGCAAGAGTTGGACCTTAAAATAAAGTGTGACCCAGCATCCTTGCTAAATAAGAGCATTCTCCTTACTATTGTTATTTTGAATCGTATACATATAAATGAATATAAAATCAACAAATCAATATAAAATATAATATAACAGTTTTAAATGTGTCATATATTATTAGGAAAATATTAGCTTTCTTTTGAGTTGACTTTTTTTTTTCCATTCCACACTATATTGTACAGTACCATACCATTCAACACTGAACCATATGCCATGCAATACTGTTCTATTCCAAACCATATTATCATGGTAGTAATGGAGCAGTACACAAACAAACAGAAACACACACACCGTTTTTAGGTGCATTTGGAGTGGTTAGACTGAGCTGAGGACGTCTCTCATCCATCTGAGAGGGTTAATTGACTACTGTTTGTCTGAAACAGATGTTCCAGTTCAGATATACAATTATTAAGTGAATCTTTACAGTCAAGTGTCTTTTAGAGTTCTCTCTCTGTCACTATACAATATTTTGTCTTTATCTCTCCTGCTTTTTATCACCTTCTGTCTGTTCTCTGTTTCCCTCCTCTTCTCTCTCCAGCCTTTTCTTCTCTCTCCTAAGTAACGGATTTGACATGGTGGGAATGTGGCAAACGTAATTTAGCTGAGTGGAATCAGCCACGGCTCTTTGTGCAGCAAAGCACCGAGTGTCCTGTTCATCTCTTTAAATGTTCTCCTCGAACAGAGCGCACACTTCATCCAGTCAGCTCTAACGAGCGCCAATGAATTCCCTTCAAGAGCCTGCATGGATATTTTTCCCCCTCAGGAAGGTGTTTATGTGTGCCTTAGAGACAGACGAATAAAACGAGACAAAGAGGGAGAGAAACAAATACGGAGTAAGGATTTCACAGGTTTAGCTTTTCGTGTAAATGCGTTCACTGTCTCCAGGGGCGTATTCTTCTTCTACTTCTTCTCACTTTCTCTGATTGATTGTGCTTAAACTTTTATACAGAGATTTTAAATCAACATCTAGGTAATGAAACACATCTGGATCTGTGGCTGGAAGTTAATTGGTACTGTACATAATCAGTAAAATAGAAGCTGAAGCACTAGGATTTTGTATAAAAGCATTTTTATATTATTGCATAATATTTCACCATTTTGACACAGAATTTCAACTACCAATGTTATTTTCTTGATCAGGTTAACCTCAAATTTGACTTAAAATCATAAAAACTTTGCAATCCATAACAATGTACCCAACATAGATGATGCTCAATTATTAGAGGATACTTAAAATAATGTGTTTAAAATGTCCAACATAAGAAAATAACAGCACATGATGCTGTTCGCAAACAGTTTTTAGTTGCAAGGGATTGTTCGATCAGTAACAGTTGACAGAACTTTTGCGGAGCAAATTAATATATGTTCTTGAATTAAATTTAAACTCAGTCTAAAAAAGCTACTTTATGGAAATAAATGGCTATGTATACATAATTTAATATATATTGAAATTACCATTTTAATTCATTATTCATGAACTACTTGTTGCAAAAACGGACACGGCAAAAACTGATGTAAGAGACATCAAAACAATTTCAAACAACTTGAAATGCAGGTTGCACAAAATATTTATGTGAGATTATAATATGATTTCTCTTGATTGATAAAATGTGATATTTCTGATGACAATTGTTAGAAAAAAAATATAATTCAATCATGACAACTCTCAGAAGATTTTAGCATGGTGATGGATATAACAATGTTAATGTATTTGGTCTTGGCGGAACAGATCTTATATGCTGCTGCTGTATTGCTGCTGCTGCTGTTGGTTATTGTTGTAGTTGTAGATTATTGCTGCTGCAAGCAAGTACAGGAACTTGCTACTGCCAATGCATATGACAATACGGTGCCATGAGTATTTAAGACATACTGCTGCTGCACAAATAGCATATAAAATAACCCCATAGCAGATCTATACAGGTGGAGCTGGGGAAGGTGGAGGGTTTCAGAGAACTCTGAAAGAGTGCTGCAGGCATCTCAAGTGAATGCTAGCCAGCCATATAAATGCAAGGCAGTAAGCTCATTGGCTGCATATGCAGCATGAACCAATCAGCTTGTGCCAAGTCGTTTAACTCTCTGAATAGCATCAGTTACGTTAACACCCCGTCAGAATGCGCCATCTAGAGTTTCATGGCTGAACTCTATATTTATCATCAATAGATGTGAAAGGTCCTAAATTGTAGGATGACTCAGGTGTGTTATGCTTGATGTAGGGGTGAGCGGTATACCGGTACGATTAACCAGTAGAATTTTGTCAACTGATAGATATTTTGGATTATCGTCTCTATCACAGTTAAACGCTCATATGACATTGCTGTGCTATGTGGTCGCGAAATCTTATAGTTTTCACACATTTTTAAGCATTGCGGTTTAAAAACAAGTGATTTTTAAGCCGTTGAAATGCAATCAGCAGCAAAAGAGAACTAATTCGCTGTCAGAGAGGCGCACACATGTGAAGACGGTGCTCATAGACCGCGGGAGTTATTTTTGCCAATTTATAGGCCTTGAACGGTTAAATTCACACACTTATATGTGTCAAAATGCTCGTCTTTGCAAGTATCCTTGTAAACACAGTAATTTAGGTCTGAAGTGAAAGCAAACAGCAGAGAAAGAAAACACATGTATATTGGATCCGGCCAGCTCTTAAAGTGACAGCAGTCTAATATTCCTGCTGTCTGTCATTCATGTTAGTCAAACAACAAAAGATAAAATCTCTCATTGCTCTCGACTAAATCACTTTTGTAACTTTAATTTAAGAAATACTGTATATATTTAATTTATACAGTGAAGAATATGCAGTGTTTTATATATTTGATTACTTTATGCAATGTATGTAGCATTTCTTTTTTATTTCTTATACTGCAGTTTTTGTCCTATTGCTTGTAATTAGTTTCTTATTCTTATTTAATCACTGACTAATTACTTGTCTTCAGTGAGCTTGAGTTTGTTGACAAGAATTATGACATTTCTATGGAATCAAAAATGTTGATATAAAAAAGAAAAAATAGGTATATTGTGATATATATTGTTACCGTGAAATAAAATTACTCGTATCATAATATAAGATTTTGCCCACCCCCTAGCTTAATGGATAAATTGTCATATACTTAGATTGAAGGAGGGTCTAGAAACCAAAATTTTACAGACTTTGATCAAGTGTTCTTCAGACCTCTTGTACCTGGTGTCTAATTTTCCACAAAACATAAGACATCCAGTGTTGGGCAAAGTTACTTTTAAAAGTAATGCACTACAATATTGCGTTACTCCCTAAAAAAGTAACTAATTACGTTACTTAGTTACTTTTTATGGAAAGTAATGCGTTAT